TTGTATGTGTTGAACACAATAATATGAAAAATTTTCTCAATGTTATCTAATTTTAATTTGAATATTGTTTTAAAAATGAAAGAAAAAAAAATTGTATTTTTTTTTTATTAACCTTTAAATGTCGGTCATACATGCAAAAATATTAAAAAGTTTTTTGATTGAAATGAACGGAATTTATTATTTTAACTTGTTATTTCACTAAATATCGCACGCCATTCATAAAAATATTATACATTTTTGCTTTTATAATAAAATTGTTTTGTTTCTTTGGAATATCTCTGCAATTTCAATATCACAATTCACCGTTTTCGTATTTTAAATTAAAAAATTAAAATGTTCTTGCCATTATAATCTGAAGTCTTCATTAGTTTAATGCCTGTTTATATGTTGTAACTCCTTATTTATTAGAATTCATTGTATAATTTAACCAGATTATAATATAAGGTCTAAACTTGCGATACTTTTTTATTTAATAAAACATTTCTTTATACTTGGCTATTTAAATAGTGGGTAAAATAGCCCTGACTTAATGCTTAAGGGATAAATACGAAAATTAAAAAAAAAAACAAAAAAGTTGACACGTGCGATAACCACTACTTTTAAAGACTCGTCGGCATCCCAATATATTTTTTATTGTTATACTTATAAATAAAATAGAATAATAACATATTAATGTAAATGTGTTTAGATACGCCATATTTATATATACGATATAAAGTAATATAAAAACTAGTAATAGAGTTTAATTACAATGAGCAGGTATAACGTTTTGTGTACATACAGATATATACATAAATAGCACAACTTTTAATTTTTTATAAATTGTTAATCCATTTTTGTACTATTTTTAAATTAAGTTGTTATATATTCTTAATTCATTGATCATTATTTAAAATAATATATTTGGACATAAGCGAAAATAAAAATAAAATATTTTTAAGCTTTTTAATTTCAATTCAAGTAAATAACACAATGTTGTATTAGTAAAAATCAACTCGAAATTTCGGAAATTTATAAATTATATTTCTAATCTAAATTTAATGATTTCCCACTGAAATTTAATTTAATGATTTGATTGTAAATGCCCCCAAAAATATGCAATTTTCTTTTGGATTCAAAAATTATGTGAAAATGTATTTTTAATTCATTAAATTTATAACTCTTGAAATATAAAAAAAATTGGAATTTTTTCTACTTGTACAAAATAATTGCTCCAATTACAGACTCAATACACTCATATAAATGTTTTAGCCTCTTATTATAATAATTGCAAAACATATAATGGCTTAAACTGCACTCTTTCAATATTATATATACAACAGTTTTCATACTCCAATTTTAATTTTAGTTTTAGAATCGATATTAAACCTCCTACAACTCATTTAAAATTCAAATTAAAAACTTTCGAAAAAACAATACGAAAAATATTTATGATTTTTAGAGTGTCTTCATCTACTTAGAAATTAAATTGTTATACAAAACTAAATTTCTAAATATAATAAGTGCGATATAATAAAAAACTATAAGACGAATTTAAATAAGTAAAAATAAAACTCATTTGAATTACTCATTCAAATTTATTATGAATAAAAAAAAACCGTCTAAATTCATCTCATATTTCATAAAAATTCAAAATAAAACAAAAATAATGAAATTTTTATAAAGTATACATAAAAAAACCTTCCCACTTCAAAAAACAAAAAAAATGCACATTATGCAGAAATTTTCATAACTTTTATTATATAAAAATTAATGCACATATAAAAATGTTCTTAAAAAAATTAAAATTTCTTAATGATTTTTCATTTAATAGTTCGTGTCATTTTATGAAAGAAAAATTGAAATTCGCTTAAAAAACACACACGTCTAAGATTACATTTTTTTTTGTCAACCTAAACTAAATCGTATTATTATACTTTTTTAGTATACTACATATTATGTGTATACGTTACAGATACATTGTTATTATTCATACATTAAATCGCATACAATTTCCACACAGGAAATATATCCCAGAATTTGATCTTTATTATATTTCGAATACAAAATACATACTTGTACAATTTAATAATTATAAAATGGATGTATGGTATTAAAATATAATGTTATTGTTAATGGTGTTAAATGAATATTTGGTGTCATATATTAAGTGTGTATATGGTAGGAAAATAAACTTACAGTCTAATTAAAAATTATGCAAGTTAGGCAAAATATATTTTGGATATTAAAATACTTTAATTTTGAAGTTAATGTGTATATACCTACTATTTGCAAAATCGATTAATTTTGTAAAATTTGCAAAATTTACTCTTTGCAAAATATATAAGATTTTGGTGGCGCAAGAAAATTACGTTGTATCTGCTCGGACTGCCCATTATTAATTGGAGGTTAATAAAATTAGCTTTACTAAATAGTTGAACAATTTATTTACATATGTAGTTCTGATTGAGACTAATGGAATATTATAAGTACTTTTCTTTTTTCTACTAAAAATTAAAATATGTTAGATTTGAGCGTCTTATTAAGTATAAACAAAACTATGATTTTCTTTAAAAAACAATTTTTACACTCTACTGTATATATACATACATATATAACAAACATATAAATATTATGTATTCGTGTACAAGGCGCACATGCTGAATTTTATGCTTATATTCAGCAAAAAAAAATTAATGCTGTTTTTTTATAAAATAAACACAAAAAAATGCATTGTGACAAAATTATGCTTTTTATGCAATTGTTTTCTGTTTTTTTTTTGCCTCTCTGTTATTTTTATTCTTGTTTCTTCGTTTAATTTTTTTATGCTTTCCTGTGACAAATTATTATAGGAAAATAAAAAACAGCAAACACATAATGAAAAAGAAAAAAAGAAATTAATTGTATTTTTTTATTTTTATTATTTTTTTGTATTATTTCATTAAAGAAAAATCAAAATCCCACTCCAATGAAATTTTAATAAAAGAATTTTTTTTTCCAACTTTTTTGAAAACAACAATCATTTTAATTTTTCCTTTATTTTCATATTTAATACGGAAATTATGTTGTGACATAATTTAGTTTACTGAATTGAAAAAGTTTTTATATTAGGGCACAACCTCGGTATACGTATAAAAATGAAGTTATTGAGAGTAAGACCGTGGCATCGAAATTGGCAGAACACCCTGAATTTTGAAATTGTTATAATTTCTTAATTATGTATTATATTACAATACATACTAGACTTCCGATACCATGAAGTGTTTAATACACAAAGCAACAATAAAATTTGCAGTTTGTTATTATTTGGTCAACAACGAGCAGTCCCAGCACATATTGCATACTTGCATATATGTATCTAATTGCATAAAAAGTATTTTAACCTAATTTTTCGGCTCTTCCACTTATGGAACGGCTGGTTACTGACTATTTTACCCTTCTAATGCAAATAAAATCATTTACAATTGATAGGTCTTCACTTATCGAAGTAGGTACCTGTAATTCATTTCGTTGATAATTTCTTTTAAATTTCATTGAAATTGAGTAAGTACATTTTGTTCTTTAAACATTTTCTCGATTTTGTGTATAAACTTGCCCATATTGTTATTCCTTTCAAAACAAATCTCAATATTAAAAATACATGCAATTTTTTTTATAGGTACTTATGAATGAAATTTAATAATATGGCACCGTACACTCACCGTTATAAAATCCATACATATTAACATATTGTATATATGAATATTTATATACAAAATATATAAAAGAATTCATTCATAAAATGAAAATATTATTGTTTGTAACTGTAATGTAAAAAAAGAATAACAACTATTATAAATCCTAGCCAATCCCTCTCCACCATCCGTCGCTCAGTTTTTCCTCATCACCTATATCTTTTTATGTCCCCTAATATTAAAATCATTAAATTTTGTTTTCATTATATGCATGTACTTATTACACATATACACATACGATATGTATTATTAAAGCCTTAAAATAATAGGAGAAAAAAAAAGTCTTTCATTAAAAAACAAAAAAAAAATAAAAATTGTAAAAATCGCGTTTTGCATTGTGATGATTTAATTTACAAAAAAGAACAAAAAGAAAATCAAAAAACACAATTATAAAACACAAAATGAAAAAAAAAATACAATGAAAAAAAAACGAATAAAATTCGTTAAATAGACATGCTGTCTGGTTAGCATAGTATCGCCTATATATTGCCTATTTATGTCTCGCTTTCAACATACGTACAAACATACATATGCACACAATATGCTTATGTTTTATTTTTAAATAATATAGAAATACATAAGCTTGCTTATATTTTGCAACAATGCTACTATTTATTGTGTTTATATCATTAAATTTTAGTTACATACATGCATACATGAAAACATACAAAAATATATAATTAATATAATTTACATACATTCAAACATTCGCATTTACTAATGTTCACTTTTTATCTTCATTTTTAACAAAAATTTTCTTTTTTAATAATTTTTTTATTTTTATCAATAGACCGGAACTTTGATAGACAAGAAAATAATATATTGTGTACACATCTTTTACTGTCAATACATATATTTATACATCTATATATATGTATATACAACGCAAATATATATAGGCAAATAATGATATCAACTCCAATGCTACAGTTGAAAAATGACAGGAGAAATTTTAATTTTTTTCTCTCATTTTATTTTTGTTATTTTTATTTCTAATGATAATTTATGAACTTGAAAAATTAAGTGAATATTCGTTTTCGCAAACATATACACACATACATACAGGCATACATACATGCATACATAAATGTTCACTCACTCAATATTATCTTAATTATCTATATTACATAACACAATTTATATGAGTTCATTTGCACTTAAAATATTGGTTGCGCCTTTATGAAATTTTCTGACATTAAAAAATAACAATTTATTTTTTAACTTGATTTATAAAATCTTATTTAAAATCATTTTATAATTTTTATTTATTTATTTATTTATTTTCAGACATTGAATCACATCCAGCATCACCAGTTTTTCCACATTTATTATTAGGTAATGGACGTGATGCTGTTGATCCAACATCTGTTGGAGCTAATTGTGTATTAAATGTTACCTGTCAGCCACCACAAAATACACCAAATCCTAGTTTAAAATATAAACAAATACCAGCTAGCGATACACCACATCAAAATATTAAACAATATTTTCAAGAGGCATTTGATTTTATAGGTAAGTTTAATTGAAATAATTTTTAATATTTTGTATAAAATATAAAAAAAAATATTAAAATAATTAATGAGAATCAGAAATTAAGGAAGAAGAGAAGAGAAAATTTAATAATTTTCAAGATCAATTCCAATTTTTTCTAATTCAAAAAAAAAACTAAATCAATATTCAATCATTTGAATACTTGGTTATGTGTACTCAAGTACTTTATTACTATGCTTTGTATAAAGATTATCGAACGAATTTCAGAAAAAGGAATTAAGATAATTAAAACAATAATGATTTTTTTTTAAATTTATTGGAACTAAAATTGCAAACGTTCTCTAAATGAAATTTTATCAAGTTTAAAAACAAATTATTCTTACTGTGTAAATGAAATAAAAATATTAAAAATCTTACAAGTACTTGTTTGCTTGTACTCGTATAGGTAAAATGTAAATTGAATATTTAGCACCGTTGAACAATAATTAATTATTTTAGCCGTAAAACGTGTCATCTCTATATAAATTTTAATTTTGATAAAAATATTATTAAGCACAAACACATTGTAAATTCTTTGGATTAGTATAATGAATTGTGGCATTATAAAAGGTCCATGTACATATATACAATGTATATAGACTTATTTTGCATATGTAGATATATATGAACATATAATTATCAAGTTATTTGAAACAATAAAAGAAATGAACTTAAAAGAGACTTAAAAGATAAGATAAAATTTTGTGAAATTTTATTATTTCTAATAAAAACTTTATTTTATCATGTTAAATTTTAAATATAGACTCTAACTAAAGCATTACCATATGTGAATTGTTATATTAAAAAATCATCTGGAAACAGTTTTTATATCATATGATTAATTAATGACGTTTAATTATTGATGACGCAAGCTGTTATTTAAACAATAGATTATTACTTATCAAATTTAAGTAGAAATTTATCATGTTACTTTTTAAAAATCATGCTGAAATTGCATTAATAAAGTACAGTGACTTCAAAATTACAATAAAATTGTAATTCTATTTAATTCAGCAATTACAACTCATAAGCTGAATTGTGTAATAACTATCGTATTACTGTTATTTTGAAGTCACGTGTATTTATACAAAATTCAGCATAAGAGTTGTGACGACTGAATTGTTTTGTATTACAGTATTAATGCAATTTCGCAGTCATAATTATTTTCTATTACAAAACCTCCTAATATATAATAGCTGAATTCAAGTAAAATTAATTTTCGGGTCATTTATCAAAATGATATAAATATAAGTCATAGAAGGTTGCTATTGGAAGTCACAACTTAAATTGTTTTCAATTCGATAATTAATTTTCAAAATTTAATAACAATTATTACTTATAGCTGGAAATTTCAAACAAAAATTTATTATAATCTTTTCCTTTTTTTGTGCGTGTGTGTGTTCTCCCCAAAATACAATTTTTTTTCTCAAACTTGATTTCATTGAAATTCAATAAGGAAATGTTTTTTTTTGTTTTTGTATTTATTTGCACTACACTACAAATATGCAATTTAATACTCAACTATATTCAATAATCTTTTCATAACATAAAAAAAATATTAAAAAAAAAATTTGTTTTTCCTATATGACCAAATTTAATCTGCTGAAAGTTTAAGTTCAAATGTCAAAAAGAAAAAAAAACTTCCTATATTTGGACAATATTTATCTATAAAAATCTATTAAGACTATTACAACAACAGTTTGTTCTGTTTCTTTTTTGTATGCTTATATTATTGCCTTATTGCGCTTATAATCAATGTACATTTCCTTCGAATCTCCTTTAAATTTCATTTCTAATTGAATTCCTTTCTCATGTGTTTATTTGGCTAATTTAATATCCATTAAAATGAATCCACAAACATAACATCCGCATATAGTCAATTATAAATTTTGTAAATATATATTTTATAAATCATACCATAAGTACAAACAAAAAAAGGGGGATAGATAGTTCTAATCCCTTATATAATTTGGAATTTGCAGTAATAACAATATGAAAAAATTTCTTACATACTTTTTCAAAATGTTCTTAAAACCATCATGTCAGTATCAATTTACTTCTGTTGTTTTATTTAATAAATTATTTATAGGAAGAAGATGAAATTTCGACATTAAAAACATTTAGAGGAAAATAAGAAATTGTCGTTTTCATACTAAATAACATGATATTTCTTTGTACATATGTATATATATATATTTGACTGTCACTTTGTGAGACTCTTATGAAAAGAGAGGAAGTTATTTAAAATCGATTTTATAATATGAAATTTACAAATAGTGCGTTGGTGTGTATTAAAAAGTTGTATTGTATTGTTTTGAAAAGAAGAAAACCCTTTGGGGATTTAGTTTTCCTGTTAAAACACTATACAGTATTAATTCTTTAGCACTTCAACTATGAAAATAAAGAAAAAACAAAAAAATTCACTTAAGGATTTTATTGTGTCTTCCTTTTTCCTCATTGCCATTTAATATTTTTGATCTTATTCATACAAACATATCATACAAACATTATTAGTACATACATGTTATGTATGATTTATTCTTATATTTTTTTAATCACATTTTTATAATAAATGGCGACAAAATGATTAATGAAGATTTTTATTCAATTTTTTAGATATTATTTTAACAAGCAAGAGGATTTAATCTATAATCTTCCCTTTGCGTATAAATATATTATAAATATTCATTGTTTACCAAAGGATTTGACATGTTTAACATAGAAGTATAACAATACAAAAATTTCTAATATTTCTAATAGTTTTCAATATTTTTGTCTTCAGCAATCAAATAAAGAGTAAGCCATTATTTATTAGAAATTAAAGGGGTGACATCGTCTCTTATTAATGATTCTCTTGGACATTTTAATAATTAAAACGTTATTTAAAATAAAATTTATTAATACTTAAATTTCGTTATTTGAATATAAAAGAGAGGCAAAAGAATTTTTATTAAAATTAGTTAAAAAATTATAATGTTAGTGCTAGTTTATATACTTATGTAGTAGACTCATTTTGTACGTTTGTTCTCACACTCTATTTAATTGCAAGTAGGATTAACATATCAATGCATATTTATTATAACGTTGAAAGAGTTTAAAAAAAATTTTTGAATCTCGTGTAAATATTTTGAAGAATAATCAATTTTTTTCTACCATATTATTGCAATTTTTTTTACTATTATGGAAAATTTATTGAAGAAAAGCTTTTTCCTTCTCATTTTGTACAAAAAATTCTACCCCATAATTTACCTATTACTTATTTTCATTTAAATCTTTTATAACTTTACACTTACTCATATTCTTAAGTGTTAATAAATATTCCGTATACAACTATTCGCACTGTATAAGTATATTCATTTTACTTACGTATAGCACTGGTGCTATTTACGTACATAAAGTTTTTCGTAATATTCCATTTGAAGCATATACAAACTATTGATGACTCATTTTGATGTAAATTTTCATTTTGTTTTCTTCTCTCATTGAATTATTTTTCATAAGTTTTTTTTTTCTTACTTTATACTCATTTAACTGTCGAGGTTATCAATAATATTTACTGTTTTTTAATTTTTTTTTATACACACATATATTTTTGCTTTAAACCATATTTTTTGTTTATTATTGCATTTATTTCAATCATTAATCAAATTTACAATATAATTAAGTTGTGTAAACTCAAAAAATAAGAAAAGGAAAAATCTGATGTGGTCAGCATAAAATAGACCGCATTAAATTTATTCTCCGAAATAGCGTACTTTAACATATCTACTCGTACAGTAGTATGACGACTAATTAAAATGAGAAACTAATTTTTAATTTGAAGATTAGTGTAGAAGATACCTGTTAAAAAAATAAAAATTAACCTTCATTAAGGTTCTGTTTTACCTACCAGTTCACAATAAAACTGAAGGTTCTACAAACTGCCAAAAAATAAGCAATTTAACTTTTTTTCAAATAGATTACATGCATTACCATGTTTCTTTTCGTTTCCCTATGACATTAAGCATTTCTGTTATACATTCAACATATAATTTAATATTATCACAATACCTTCCTTACTGTTTGCAGCACGACTGATGAAAATATTATTGTTTGTTCAAAATTTAAGTCAATATTTTTGTTGCAACATATTTACAATGCACATGCCGCAATCATTTCAACCGTATTCTTACGTAATTTTGACAACAATTTTTTTTAAATTTTTGTAAACGTTTAAAATATTATTTTGTATTTAATAAATGTTACATAGTTAGTTAGTTTTGATAAGAATTAATTAAATTGTTAATTAGTAATGAAAGTAACAAAGTATGTGTAAATTTTTTTCAAATTAGCGTTTGATGAGACAATAATAACTATAATGCTTCTTCCACAATTAGTTTTGCACAAATAATTGAATATTTCATTTATTATACTTGTACTTTTGTATTATGTAAGCTGATACAATTTACTATGAGATTTTAAAAATATTTTCAATACCTCTTACGATAACAGTATAATTAAGTCTACCGTAACTACAATTCACAATGTTCAACCCCAACTTTAATTCTGTATGATTTCAAACATGTATGATATTAAAATTTAATATTTAAAATTAAATAAGAAGAAGTAAATTATGGAAACTCAAATTATATTTTGAAAAATTTGTTACACTTTTATTTGCTAAAACATCCTTGATTTCCTCCCAAAAAAAAAAATAATTTTTTTTATTAATTACCTATAAATACTCGTAAATACATTTTTAAATTTTATTCATTGATAAGTCTGAACTCATCACATCAAGTCTTTGTGTAGATATTATATATATAAGAGCTTTATATATATATATATACCCTCATTATATTCCCATAAATAGTAGTAAATTAAAATATAATAATTGCTAATTGTTCTCCTAAACATACTCCAATTTTTTGTTTTGTCTATTCAAATTTTGAATTTGTTTTGTTTTTTTTTAATTAAATTATAATTAACAATGGCTTTATAAT